CAGAATATACAAAGACAGGCAAAATACACATGTACAACAAGGTAAGAACATATCTACACGCTGGCAGGGTCCATTCCGCCAGCTGGTATACAATTCGGGAGAGGTTGAGCCCGCGAGGACAAAAACCGGAGCCCAAAAATTCGTACGACGCACCAGCTACGCACCGCGCTCAAATCGCCAGCTGCTCGTAGACCTTCACGATCCCCTTGATGCCCGGACACACCGCCAGCCGCACGCGCTCGTTCTCGCGCCACAGCGCAGCGCGGCCCGTGCTCTCCAGCCACGCCACCGCGCCGCCCTTCTCGACCATCTCGCTGCGGTCCTTCACGAAGCGCGCGAGGCGGTCGCGCTGCAGCGCCCAGCGCAACCTGCGCACGGTCGAGACGAGGCGTGCGGACACGGGGGCGGCGGAGGTTTCGCGGGGGAGGACGCGGGTGTGGTAGAAGGTTTCGCGTGCTGCGGGGGAGCGGGCGCGGAGCGAGTGGGCGAGGACGTCGCGCGCGTGCGTCCACTGGAGGCGCAGCGAGCATTCGTACTGTTTGACCATCTGATGGCGGATAGGTCAGGATGATAGGAGGGGGCCGAGAGAAAGCGTACGTACGTGCGGGGAGCTAAAATACAGCCCTGCTCTCCATCGCCGCTCGATGCCCATCCCGCGGAGGATGCCTCGATGCACCAGGTCGGATACGGTGGGGCGCAGTGGAACTCCCGCAGTACTCTGTCCGAACAGGGAGTGCGAAACGCGAGACGGCGCGACGACGAGCAGTCTCTTGCGGTGGAGCAATGGGTCTTCAGCCAGCTGCGCGAGCTCACGGTAGGCCTGCGCCAGGCATGTCAAATCGGGCAGGTCGAGGTAGGACACTGTCTAGGGGTGTCAAACACTCCACGAGTAGCACGCAGAGCGGTACTCACGGATATCCAGCAATGTTTCGGGTGGTAGGTACAGGAGCATGTCGGAGCGCAGGTTGTGTTGCACGGCCCTCGGCCAGTGTCAGCGGCGAGTGGAGGAAGCATAGAAGGTCGGAGGCGTGGTCCAGCGGTGTCGCCAGGTGTATGAGAGGAAGCAGCAGGGTGTCTGGGAAAGCAGGTTGGAGCGTTGTTGCCCCTCGAGACGAGACGGAGCGCCGCAGCCACTCGAACAGGCTCGGTGTGAGCGGGAGCGCGCTCTCGGCGTCTGCCGCACCCGCGTCGATCTGAGATGCCGCTCGTATCGCGTCCACGCAGACGAAAGCGGTCTCAGCGTGGGCGAGGGGAGGGAGTGAGTGAGAGAGAGAGGTGTATGTCGTCGATACAGTGACGCGCGCCAATCCAACGCTATCCCATGCACCGCTCCGTCGTCGGTGACGTCACGCGCTGCACTCGCTCTGCTCAGTTCGCTGCACTTTCTCTCAGTCTGCTCGCTTCTCTTCTAAGCTCGCCTTCAAGACCGTCCTGCCCGTCTTCGGTCTTGTTTTGCCTCTCGCTCGCCCGTCCCAGGTCTGCCCACTCTGCTTTCTCCCACGCACACTCGCATCCCATCCGCCTCCGTGTCCCTCCTTGCCTCGCCCGCCAGATAGAACTTGCACCCGCTAGCGCGGCCTCCGTCTCTCGTCCCACCAGCAATCTCAGCAACCGTTCGGCGTACTCGTGCAAAGACGGCGCAGTCGTCCTTCGTTCCCCATCCTCGTCGCGCCGCCAACCCGCCCTTCGCCATTTCCGACTCTCTCCTGCACATGCCCCGCTCGAAAGCTGTCGGATAACGTTCATACAGTACGCCTCTCACGTCAGGTACGTTTCCAGCACGTCCCCAGCCCAACTGCGCTCGCAAAGTTCAAACAGCATCCCGGGTGCATACCCACTCGTGCCGCATGCGCCCTTCCGTGCACTACCACCGGAGCATCGCCAGTATGTAGCCAACGCTTGCACGACGACGCCTCCTCGCGCGCGCCAAGACTCGGCCGATGTCCTTCGTCCGGAATGCGATAAACACCCGCGAGGACGCCTCTCCTCTCGCTCTCCCCGCTTCCCTTGCACAAGTAACGTGCATGGAGATCGTACTGCGTTCAAGGCCATGCCCTTCTCTCGCTTTCGGCAAGTTTCCAGCCCGGTCCGCCGTGAACTGCACTCACAGTGCTCCAATAGCTCATCCTCTGCACATGGGCCACCATTACCCTCTGCCTTGCCCCCGCGTTTCTCGATGCCCCGCTCCCAGTGCACTACTGATACGTGGGGTGGGCCCTGCAGATGCCACCGCCGCACGCACCGTGGTGCTGCATACGTCCTTCGCCCGGTGCGTCGCTCACCGGGCGCCGACCTCCCCACCGACCTTGGCCCATCTCCGCGCCCCGTTTCCTCGCACACGCATGCCAGTCCGCGACGACGCAGTCGAAGGCTGCATGCGCTCACGGCAGGTGCTTTCTCCGCGTCTACGCACGCGAGCAGCGCTGACGGCGGCGTATTTTCAGATCGCCCGCACACAAAAACGCACACAGCGCACCCGCGCGCACTCGTCTCGGCTTCCCCTCTTACGCATAGCGTCTTCGCACTCCCCTTGACCATCGCCGTCGGTGCTGGACGCGCACGACGACGCCGGCCGCGCGCATGCCGCGTCTAGGTCCGTAGAGGTGCCACCCCGCTCGCACTTGGACACAACCCTCGGGCGACTCGCAAACACGCTGGCACGCTCCCGCGGACCTCGGCGCATACACACAGCACGTCTCAGCGCGATCGGAGAGAAAAATATTGTGAACTTCGGGGCCGATTTCATGTGTATCACCGGGTGTACAGACAGCATATCGCGCATCCCGCCGCCGATCCGCCGCCCACCGACGCGAAACTTACCCAGAACACGCACGTGGACACTCCCAGCCGCCTCCCGCCTCCCGCCTCCCGCCGCCGTGAGACTCGTCCGGGGACGTTGTGGCCGGACACTCACCTGTCGTCGAGGTCGCGCTCGGACGATGCGCCGCGCTGCGCGGAGACGGTGTGAGTGCAAATGCTGAGATGAAGCGAGCGGTGTGCTACTTACTGTCCACAGCCTGGTGCGAGACTCGCCTCGGCGGCCGGGGATGCTCGACCGTGCGTCGGCGGGCCCGTGGTGCGGTAGTAGCACAAATCTACTGTATCTACGTGTATCCCGCCCGCAGCCGTCCCTGCACAAGCGCCGCCGCACTCGCTCGGCGTAGGTCAGTAGCCCAAGCTGCGCGGGGAAGGAAGGCTGACGCGTGTGGTCAGTACAGACACGCGGACGAGACGGAAGGCGCGCACCGTCGTGGTCGCGCACACCTCGACCGACGCTGCACACGATGGCCGCCATGTCCGACGGCCGCGCTGTGCACGACGCGTCGCATGCGAGCTGTGAAGGGCCGATCAGAGCATGGGCAAGCAGAGAGGTCAGAGCAGAGGCGGACATACCGTACAGCGCAAGGCGGCAGGCGAGAGGGGCGAGGTGAGGAGGGGGCAGCGAGGAGGAGACAGCGAGGAGGGGACAGCGAGGAAGGGGTGGGGGATGGCTCTCCGTTGTCCACACCACCCAGCCTTTAACTGACTCCCAGACGCCGACAGTCCACGTCCGCCCCCTCGTCGTGTTCGCGCTGCGCGCTCCGTCTGTTCGGTTCGTGTCGTGCAACATCTCCGCCGTCTGCGCTGCCCTCGGACGACGGCGCCCCGTCGTGCCCACGTACCCGCAACCCTGACGTTCCCATTTGGACCAGGTTTCTGCGCGCTCCGCGCCCCGCACCGAGCTTGTGCGGCGGTCAGCGCGCGTGGTCCGCCCCGCTGCGGCGCACCCGCCTCGCCCTCGAAGTCACCGCCGCGCCGCCTCGCCGCCAACGTCCCTCTTCATGGGCACGCCGAGCACACGCGGGGCAGCGTCCGCTTCGAGTGCGAGAGACTCGTCGTCGCGCACCCAGCTCCGAGTCGACGGTGCGTGCTCGTTCCCGCCCGTGTCTCCGATTTGATGCGCCTCTGTGTCGTTGACCGAAGAGGGAGGCAGGGAACGCCTGCCTCCGAACGCCGTCGATGCGTGCACCACACGGCTGGTACCCCGCCCGCCCGCACAAGACGGCGCTGACCACACCCTCCGATGTCGTACGGCGTCGTCTCGTCGGTCGTTGGGGATGCTGCACGACAAGACCCCGCCCCGCCCTTTCCTGCAACCCGTGCCGCGTCGTGACCGCCACGGTCGCTGCTTTGCACCAATGTACATATTCCGCGCAAGTCCCGGACTCGTAAAACACAAATATATTTTCGTTTCGCGCACAATACCACGGGCGGACGGACGGCCGCGGCGGAAGTACGAACTCCCACATCGCACATTCCCGCCCTCCTGCGCGATTCTCCGCGCCGCATCTCCTCCGATGCGCCCCCGGGAAGGGTGACGTGCGTTCCCCGCTACGCACGACATGCAGGCACGAATCGACCGCCCGATACGGCAGAGCGTCGCGATTGCGGTCGCCGCGGCACAGTGGGGGTGGGGGCGCGCCCCCGACAAGACGTCGAGCTCGCACTTTGATCGTGCTCCGCGGCGCGCTGCAAACGCGGGGGGCTCTTCTGTGCACCATGGTGCGTGCGCAGCACGAGTTTCAGCGGCGTACGGGCACATCTGTGTTAGGACGTTTCGCGCGATTTCATGGGCGGAGACCCGGCGAACACAGTGAATCGCGTGTCACCATCCACCTTCGCGGCCCTCTGTTGCGCGCACTCGCAGGGATACGCATGTGAATAGTTGTATTAGCCCCCTGTTGCGTTTGAGGGTGTACAGTCCATTTGTGACACGCCCGGTCCGTCCGCGATGTCGAGCAGGTCTGCAGTATCTCGCCGGGAGAATTGGACGTCGTGCGACGACGACGCGCTGCGCCGCTCCGGTAATGAAACGTCACGGTATATACACACAGGCCTACATTTATAGTGAGTTTCGGGCGTTTTTGGGAAAAAATAAAATCGCACCTCATGCTTCCAAAGGGGGGACCCTTACATCCTGGCGGGGCGGAGTCTCGTCAAGATGTCGAGCTCGCGCGACGACGGCGTCGCGTACGACGTCCAAACTTCGACGCGGAGTTGTATGCACCAGGGAGAATGTGCTCAGCGAGTTTCAGCGCATTCCGAGCATGTTGAAATTCAGATGTTTTGTGCCATTTCATGGGCGGGAGCCTTGCGAACACACAGAATCGCGTGTCGCCGTCCTCCCTTGCGTCCTCCCGCCTCGTGCACACGGTCGCAGATATCTGTTGACGTCTATATTAGCCTCCCGCCATTCTCGAGCGCGCACGAACAGTTTGAATTTTGCCATTTCGCGGGGATAGGTTCAGGATGGGATCCCACATTTCTGAACATATCGAGCTCGCGCACAGACGCCGCCGCGCCGCGCCTCCAAATTCTAACGCCGTGCTCGTTGCGCATGGGCGCACCTTCCCTGCAAGTTTCAGCTCAGGCCGAGAGAAACGAAATGCGCGCCCAACTGCGCACGCTGTCGTGGGTTCGAAGGACGAAACTCACCGAAACGCCCGCCGCGGCCCTGTTTCGCGTCGCCCCGCACCGCCCTTCGACACATGAAGACGCAGGAGTGTTTATAACTGATTGTGACCGTTTCGGAATGCGTACGGCCGGTGTGGCCCTCGATATTCCCGTATTAGAACAAATTTGTGGGGGTGGGTGCTTACAAGATATTGTCCTCCCGCGCGAACTGCGCATCCGCTGGCGCCGTTACTTGAACGCAGGTCGTTCTACACCACGCCGCGTACGCCCAGTGAGTTTCGGCCCAATCTGAACGAAATAAATTCTCACGAGCTAATTTCAAAGGGGGGACCCTTACAAATCTCGAGAAATCCGTAATTTGAGCATTCCTCCTCGCCCGCGCATTCTCCCGCGCCGAAATTCGGTATGCGCAGTCCTCTAAGCGTGGTGTATCGTCGCATATTGTGTGCGCATGCATGAACATAAACTGACATGAGATAATCCTGCAGGAAGGAACACCTTAAAGACAGCGACCTACCACGCCTCCGCGCTCCCGACCCGCTCCCATAACGCGAGGCTATGCTCCTTGAGCCGTATTGAATAGGCTCAGAAAGTTACAGCCCGATCTGTACAAAATTGGAAGTCTGAGCCCACTTCACGCATGTTCGGGAGCCAAAGTGACAGAATCACATACTTGAGCTTCGCGTACCGACCCGTCATTGTGCCGTTTCAAGAATTTGCCCTCATTTTCGACTGGGCTATGCGTATGCTTGTAGTGAGTTTCGATTCGTTCGGAGAGAATGAAAGCTCACCAGGTGGTGTCCAAGGGGTGAGCCTGGCAGATCCTCCCAAATCGAAGAATCAAGCATTGCGCCGCTTCTACGCATCTTCCAGCGCTGCAATTCGGTGAGTTCAATCTTGTGAGTATTTTGAAGCGTTTGACGCGATGCTCGCGCGTACACAATTAGTCTGACGCCAGTGATCCTTTCAGGAAGGCGCACCCCAGACACAGCAGGCCCCCGCGCCCCACGCTGCCGCACAGCTCCCAAGATGGAACGGTACACTCACCGCAACATAGCGCATACGCTCTGCAAGTTTCATTCCGATTCGAATAAAACCTGGAGTTCGAGGTCACTTCGCGTGTTTTCAAGATTGGGGAGAGTGTACCCTAAACCGAGCGAACTCCCACGCGCCCACGCTTGCGTAGAGCTCCCGAAATGGAACGCTACGCGCCCCGCACCATACCGTATATGATATCTAAGTTTCATGCCGATCCGAGCAGAACCTGGAGTGTGGAGTCTCTTTGTGCACGTTCAGGCGGCAAGAATGCAAATCGCGCACCTGAGCCTCGCGCGCGTCGGAAGCGTCCCGTACTCGTTCAAGAATGCACCGCCACTATCTACGAGCTGGGGAGAGTATGTGCGGTGAGTTCCAGTCCCTCCGGAGAAGAACGAGTGCTCACAATGTGTTTTCTAACGGGGGACCCTCACAGATCTCTCGAAATCGGAGAATCGAGGACTCCGCCTCTCCTAGGCATTCTCCTGTGCCGCGATTTCGCACATGTGTTCCTGTAGGCGTCATGAATCGTTGTCAGCCATGCTCACGCGCATGCAAACAATGTGTCTCCAATAAACCTCGCGGCAAGGTGCACCCCGGACATAGGGACTCCCCGCGCCGCCACACTGTCGAGCGGCTCCCAAAAGAAGATGTCACGGCCCCCACACCGTACCGTGCAGGATATGTAAACTTGAGCCCGATCCGACAAAACCTTGAAGGTTGAGGCCATTTTGCGTGCGTCCAGACCGCAAAGACACAAACCCACCCGCGCCAGCTTTTGCGCACATCATTCTGCACCGCGCCATCGTACATGCATGCGCGCGAACACCTGTACTTTGACTTACGCAAACACGCATGGACATGCGAGTGTCAAGGAGCTCACACGACATGTCCGAGCACGCTGCCCCTGCGGAGGCGCCGACCCGCCGCACCAACGCACCTCTATATCATTTCTCAAACACAACAGCGCGGCCGGCACTCTGTAGTGAATAACGAATTTTAGCATTACGCGCACAAGAACACACAGACACTGCGTGCAGGAAGCCGGACATGCGTGCGGCATCCTTCTCTCAAAGCATCATGTGCCGACCGCCTCCCCGCCCGCATACGCCTGTGAGCATCCCCGCCCCGCAACACTCGGGCATGCACGGGCGTGCGCAGACAACCATCGCGCACGGGCGCACTCCAAATCGGTGCTGCGTACTCACGCGCGTGCCCGCTGAATTCTCGGTCCACGAGCAAGAAGGCATACCGTGCGCAATCCACGGCGACGAGTGCGGCCGTGTCGAGCGCGCACAAAGCGCCCCGGCGCCGCCCACCGTAGAGGTCGCACTATCCCGCCTCTCCGGGTCAGGCCGCGCCGACCGTTCCTGAACCGCCGATTCGGGCACCCTGCGCGCCCGCGGTCTTCGCGATATAGGAGACCGACTGGCGCTCTGCGTGCTTTGTGCCCTGCATTGCGAGCTAAAATGCGAGATTTACGTACGCGATGGACGCCGGGCGGGGAACTGCCCAATGACGCTCGTGGGCGCCAGCCAGCCCCGGTCCCGAGCAAGGTGTGTGCATATGGTTCCAAACGTACGGTTCGCAGGACCCCAGATGGATCGGCGGCCGCCATCTCTCGGTCGAATCGTGCGGACCTGTGCCAACCCCTTTGGTCTGAGTGAGGCAGTACATCAAATGGACGTACCCACCGTTGCTCGTCCAAGGTCAACGTTGCGGGTCGTGCATCGTACGAAGCGGCGAAGCCGAGTTGATGCAACGAGCGCGATGGGTTGCCGGTGGACCCTTTGTCCGACGAGCTCCGAGTCGAAATTTTGCTCGTTCACGCTGGGGAGCGAGCCGATTAGTACGAGAACGCCGGAGCTAGCGATTTACGACCTCACCATTCCGCAGCGCGTGTGGCCTCGTGCGTGGGCATGGGGACAGCCGGCGGGGAAGGTGACCCGTTATCCCATTTTTGCTCATCCCGTACCGCGAACAGGCGGGAAACGCGCTGACAATGGCGCAGTCGGCGGCGGTCACGACCAGGAGCAAGGCCCAATCCTTCCTGTTGCGCGGGATCAAAATCGAGGATGTTCTGTGGGCAAGCGACGAGTCCGTGAGCGAATGCAGCAGCTGGTGAGTCAAACGGGACTCACTCTCCAATGCCTGTGAGATGATTGGGGTGGGAGCGCGGACTGGGCAAGCGAGCTGGACGTGTTCGCGGTGTCAGTTCGGGAGGAAAGCGAAATTCGGGAGGGCGTACCGTAAAGTTTGTGATTGAGTTCGCCGCGTAATTGTGAACCTGGTGATGCGTCAGCCATATTTGGTGGGACGCATACCGCACTCGGCCGTGGTGATCCTCGTCCAAGGCTTGTGTCCTGCCGTTTCCGCGAGGAGTCAGGCTGGGGCAGGCGATAACCTGCGAGAGAATGTGAGTGATTCTCGAGCAATAGAAACGATGTGGAATATGTACATACCCAGTCCGTCTGCGTGGTGCTGCTTGCTCGTCCATAAGAATGCGGCCAGCGATGTCGAGAGCGCCATGGCTTCCCTGAACCCGCTTGCCACCGTCCTTCTCCCGTCTCCTACCATGTCTATTGCGGCACCCACCATAACGTCCTCCATCATTCCAAAACGCCCCGCCATCACGGAGCCTGCGACGGCGACTGTCTATGATATGACCATGCCTGTCAGTTTACGTGAGTGTCAGCGATCTGCACCCGCCACCATTCCACTGCTCACCGCACACTCCAGGCGAGCTGGCCACCCACATCGCTGGCGCAGCTGAGAGAGCATCGCTGTGCCCGCCGCCTACTTTGACCGAAACGGCCGTCGTTTCTGCGCGCGTCCATCGCCACCGTGGCAGCACAGAGGCTCGCGGAAAATACCGCTTCCACCCGTACCTGCGGCCCAACCACGTCAGGAAGCCGGGGCGCGCGGCAGGATGCTCGGTCAAGCCTGCTGTGGTAGTGGGTGCGTCTGCGTTCCTCGGCTCACCTGTATTCGCGCCCCACGGAGACAATTATGGCACCGCGCCCGTATCGGAGTTTTACAAAATCAAGGCGGCCTTGTAGCGTGCGGCGGAGGGGGGCGGCAATGGGTCGGGTTCGGAGATCTCGGGGCAGGCTGAGTGAGTGTGCGGCGTCGGGAGCCGTCGAGACCGGATTGAACGTCCTTGTACACGCACTTCGCATTATATACGCATAATTGGCGATTTCTTGCACAATGTTGGCCAAACCGTCCATGGTGCAGTGGTGGTGGACGGTTGAGAGCAAGGATTCGCGCGGGTGCCTCGACAGACCCTGCCTTCCCGTTTTGGGAGGTCAATCAAGACGCTTGGGCGGCTGAGGCCCGCTCCCTCGTTCCGCTCCCTCACCGCGCGCTCCGCTCTGGCTGTACTACACGCTCGACTGGATGCACGCTCGGCGACGTCTTTGGTATATTGGCTATACTGGTTAGGTCCTGTACCATTCCGACCAGAAATCGGGCTTTTGCATGGTCTCGGTACAAGCATCCGGCGACGCGCGCGGCGAGGTGTGCCGCGGACGTCTGACCAGCGTAAGTTATCAGTAGGAAACTTGAACTTGAGTACTTACGGCCTTGTGCACTCGTAGCTCTGTTGATGTCGCGTTGAAATCCGCGCTTTGCTGCATTCGAGACAAAGGCGATCTTGGCCGCGGGTATGTTGTTTTCCGTGGCTGATGGGCAGCACTCTGACATGCTGTTTCCAGGCTCCCGCACGGGAGGCCCCGCGCAAGTCCGGATATGCGAGTCTCCCCATCCGAACATGAGGGAGGCGGCTTGCCAGACTTGGAATTCGAGGGAACGGCCGTTTGCCAAAGGACAGCGGCTCCTAAGCGCCCACCACCTGCTCAAGCTATATAGACTTTGTGGCGGCTGCACCGCATTTCCTCCGCCCGCGACTCACTTTGTCACCCCCTCCCGCCCATCCGCACCTTTTTCCTGGCCCCAGCTCCGAACCCAGCCTCGAACGTGCACGTCGACCGCTGACACCTCGCCTTTCTTTTGCGAACAGACTGGCCCCGCCACGACAACGTCTTGTGTGCGAGAGGACGCCACACTGGCAGAAGGTATGTGAATACAACGAGTGTTGAGGTACTTGGGCTTTCAGCCGCGGCAGGGTGTCCTGCGAAGCCCGGTATAGGCTACCGCGCCGGGCACATCTCGACTCCGGTGGCGGAGCACACTGCACTGGCTCCGTGAAAGGCGTCGAGTTCGAAGACGAATCCCACGCAGGGAATTCGTGTTCAGGAGTGCCGGCGCCACATTTCACTTTTTGTTTCCCCTCTGCCAGTGGCCTCTCTGTCTTCGGGCAGCGGCGAAGTGGTACAAGGCTCGCGTAAATAGCGGCCGCAGGCAGGCTTTCCCCGCGCGCCTCACTATTCCGGATCACGTCGCTCCAGTAGCACCCCCTCGTTCACACACAAACAACAATGGCATCCGCCTCCACCTCCACTTCCGCCCCTGCGCCCGCCCCGGTCCCGGTTTCGGCGCCACAACCACACCCCGCATCCTTCGACACGAGCTACCAGGACACTTTCGACGCCCCCGGGCACCTGCGCGAGCCTAGCACACACGTTCGCTGCGCCGCGGCGGGCCCGTCGCGCGCAGCGTACTCTGCGCCCTGTGCGGTCCTCGCTCCTTCCACCTGCGCTGTCCGACGACCCGGCGTGTCCGGCGTACGTTCTCGGTGCATGCTGTCGAGGACGCGCGGACGCGGTGGTGTCGCAGAGAGCTCGCCCCGGGCGCTGTGCGGTTCGCGTTGACGTTCGGCGCCGCGTGTGGGCTCCATGCGCGTGGGCGCTGAACGAGTTTGGGCTCGTCTTACGAGTGTGAAGGCCAAGTGGCGGGGTACCCAGTAAATTTACGAGGACACCGCTGACATGTACTAGCCCGAACTGGCCAATCTCGCATCGCGGCGGCGCGCCCGCGAGCGCAGAATGGGCACAAGGTACGTCTTCAATTATCCTGTCTTGTTTGGCCCGCCATTGACTCTTGCACGCGCGCAGCCACTCCCGCCCGGCGGTTTCGCAGCGACTCTGCGCGAACACGTCTTATTGCGCGCGGGCGAGACGAAGACGGCCGATTCGACGTACGGCAGCGAGCTCGAGTGTGACGTCCAAGGGCACGGGGACACGGGGAGAAGCTGCACTGGGGTACGGGCGCTTAACGGCGCGGAGGCCGTCGAACGAGTGCACCCGTAGAGACCAGTTCGCGATGTCCAGAGTCGTGTTATGAGAAAACTGTGATTTTCATTCTCTATACTGCGTCTGTTGTACACGGTGTGCAAGTTCTCCTACCGGACCCTCCCGCATGCGCCGCCCACGACCTGGTGCCCGCCTGTGTGCACGCCCACACATGCACCGAGTACGACGGACTGCCCTCAGCCCCTTCCGCGCCAACCAGAGCCCACTGCCCACACATACTTACCCTTTATTTCCCCAGCCTCTCACTTCCGAGGCGGGCGAGGACCGGACCGCCGGGACGGGCCAGGGCAGCAGAGAACGACCTCGCACAGCGTGTACCGCGGCGTAGGCGTCGAACCCCCGACCTCTGCATCTTGGGTCTGCGGACGCGCTTGACACGGGGGTTGAGCATCTGGACATACGCTTCCGAGCTGCTTGAGGAGCTAGACCCCTCCTCTGAACCGCTCCGCCGTGTGGGAGATTCAACGCGCTCCGGGGTGGGAGGCTGGACGACACGATCACGTGTACGCGCCTGCCGCCGACGCCACTGACATCGCGCTCCTCCCCGCTGTCCTCTCCCACCACCCCCTGGCGCGATGTGCATCAAGAATGAGGTAGCGCCTGTCGAGACATCGTGAGCACGACTCATCCCATGCGCGACCTGTCGATTGACCTCCCCAGCCCAGCACTGCGCCGTCCACGACGCGTATGACCATCGAGGTGTGCATCGATTCCGTCGAATCGGCCCTCGCGTGCGTTCCTCTCGCGACTGAATACCCTCCGATACTTCAGCTCATCGCGCAGTGCAGGGCCATACGAGGAGGGGCAGATCGTCTCGAGCTCTGCGGCAATCTCGGGCTTGGAGGAGGCACTACTCCCAGCCTCGGACTATTCAAGGCCGTGCGCGAGGCAACGCCGCACGGCATGCCTATTATGGTACGCCCCGCCCCGCCCCAACGTGCGGTACGCGAGCGTGCCATTGACACGTAACGCGGCAGGTGATGGTCCGACCCCGCACCGGGGACTTTCTATACACCGACGCAGAGTTCGGCATCATGCGCGAGGACATCAAGGCCTTCAAGGAAGCTCGCGCCGACGGCGTCGTCCTGGGCATTCTGCACAAGGACGGCGGGATAGACACGTCCCGCACCAAAGTGTGCGTTTTGAGCCCATACGCTCTGCTCAACCATGGTGACAGCGAGACACCCTAGGCTGGCAGAAGAGGCCGCTCCGATGCAAGGTGCGGCGGACTGCGTCATTCCCACCCTCCCATCGAGACCAACTGTCGGACAGTGTGCTTTCACAGAGCCATTGACATGACAAGCCAAGACATTCTCAGTGGTGTGTCTCGGGCTTCACGTTAGGTTACCCCGGCGTACCATGACTCACGCTCCAACAGCACACCTCGCCATATCCCGCATCTCTCAAGTAACACGCATTCTTACCAGGTACGGGGAGGGCCATCGTCTTGAGCTTGGCACATCCTTCTCACGTCGAGTTTGCCTTGCTGTCTGATCAGCGGCCAAGCCCCGTCCGCCCCATTTCCCTCTGCGCTTCCGACGCTGCGGACGCTGCTCCGCGATGCCTCACGCATGCCCTCTTCTGCAAAGGTGCTTGTCGGCTCAGGGATCAACGCGCATACGGTGGATCCACTTCTAAAGGAACTCTTACCTTGCGGCCTGCGCGAGGTGCACCTAAGCGGCGGAGGATGGGTTCCAAGTGAGATGGAGTTTCAGAGGGAGGGAATGGGAATGGGTGTCGGCGGAGAGGGGGAGTGGGGCCTATGGAGAACAAGCGAGGACAAGGTAAGGGTCGGTGCGGGCGATTGTAGACCAGGCTTGATTGGAGTATATCGAAGGCGAGCAGGGTTGAATGATACACAT